CAGTTGAAAAGGGTACTTTCCTGTGGCAATGACAGTTTTTGGCCTAAGTTTATCATGGATAAAGGCACTGGACACAAAATTGTTCGGAATATGCGACGAACTTGTCTAGCTAGGATTACAGACATTACGCCAGTTAGTGTTTCAAGACCCGATTCTGGCCATGGGTTACTAGAAAGGACTGCTAGATGGCATCACTGTGTAGTAAAAAATACATCTGACTGAAAACCAGTCTCTCAAGTTTTGCACAAAAGGTCGCCTGCCGTCATGTTCCCTCATCAAGGTCACCAGTGTTGGCAGTGTTGACACGTGACGCGTTAGTGTTTACCGCTGACAGCTCGTCGTATATAGAAGACACAGCAAAGGGATCAAACTGCGTAAGTATGGACCTAAACGGTTCAATATTAACCACACTGGTAAAGTGTGAGTGTGGGAGATCAAATTGTTAAGGGGCTTTTTTTCACCTAACTACCATTCACAACATTTTTGCTCCCTAGGTAAGGCTTGCCATCGGGGCCATCTGTCAACCATCAAGTTTCCACCTGACTGGACAGGCTTTACAGGCGGGTCTGCCGAAGGGCTTCAGAATGCAAGCACAAAGTTAAGTTATTTACTTCAACACCAGGGAGTGAAGAAACTGCTTCTTTAGTTAAAGGGTGAATTCTGCCATTTCTGATTAACTTGCTCGACATAATGGCACTTTCTAAAAGATTTACGTTGGCAGTGTAACGTTAACAATTAAACTGCAATCTCAACAGATGGCATGTTTTCACTTTGAATATAAATTATATCGAGTTTGTAACGTTTTAACGCATGACATCTAGGCTTATGACATTTGGATATGTGTCTGTTGCCCCTCCAAGATATTCCAACTCTTTTCCTCATAAGTAAGTGTGTAGGCTTACCGTTCTACTTCACGTGAAATACCGTAAAACGTCACAATTTTCAAAAATGAGCGGAGAGGTCAGCTTTTGACCTGTATTCTTTCGGTTGAACTTCTGAGACTATTCATTATCGATTATCGACACAAAAAATGACAAACACATGTGTGTGGTACCAAAACTGCAGATGTATTGAAAAGCCTTGAAAGCAAATGTAAATATATGTAAGTAAACGATCAGTTTTAGGTGTAGGTTAAGACATAACTTCTACTGTTTATAAAAAATGACGGTAGGTCTACCTTATCTTCAAGTAGAGATGTCTGCAAATATCTAAAAATACCTGACACAACATTCCGCAGCAGCCTATGTACATTAGATTGTAGATTATGTTTTCCACAGAAATACCGCACAATGCACATTGTTGGTTACACTTGAAGTAAGCAGTTTGGTTCTCACTCAACTCACTAAAGCAAAGCCATGTTTTTAACGTCACACAGAGCGTCTTTCCAACTAACACGCTCCTTATAAATCTAAATGCATCAGGAAGATAAACGTTATAGTAGTACATCAATTAACAGCAAGATAAAACACTAAACATATGTCAATAACCTTAGGTGATAACAGTGTCCCACTTATCTTTAAGATAACTAAGTTAATGTTAAAGGAAAGCAACACAAAAAATTGAAAAGCCTACTATACTATGCTAAATAGATACTAGTAAAATCAAGTTCTCGCTTGTTTCACATAAGTCCGTCATAGTTCTGGGATTTCTCAACATTCAAACTTGCTCCGTGATGACAGCTACTTAGATGATAATTAAATTAGGTGATGTCATTGATCTGCATTTACCGACAATAATGAATAGACCTTTTTAATCTGGCTTTCCTGGGGAGGGATTTCCAGGATCTTGCTGAATTGAAAGCCCACAAACTCGTCAATTTCCTCAAATTTGTTGGAAAGTTCCTCAAAATCCATCGCAAAGAAAAATCAAATTAAAGGCACTATTCATTATGGTTGGTAAATGTAGATCAGTGACATCACCTAACTTAATTATCAGGTAAGTAGCTGTCATCACGGCGCAAGTTTAAATGTTGAGAAATGCCAGAACTATGACGGACTTATGCAAAACAAGCGAGAACTTGACTTTGGGGTATATTTAGCATAGTATAGTAGGATTTTCAATTTTTTGTGTTGCTTTCCTTTAATATATACATGTAACTATCTAGACTTGGCAGGTATACATATAATTTGCATAGTATTACATGTTATGAAACCTTATAGCCGATTATTCCACAATGTTTGACAACCAGTCTCACTGCCCTTTGGCCATTTTCAATCCTATCCTCTTCTATCTTTCTCCTGAATCTGATGGTTGTCAATTGCAGATATGACGGCCACCATGTCAGACTCAAATTCTTGATAAGCCTTTCGAAATTTTCCCCACAGGACTCTGAAGTTGTGTCTCTAACAGGTGGGACATGCAGGCCGTCATGTCTGTCACACGGTGGTGGCAGGAATGGTACCATAAAGCACCGGCGTTTTTTTTTTTTTTTTCATTTTTTGTTCAGCTGACAACTGCTTCCTAACACTTACAGTATAACGAACGTCTTTACCGTGTTTGTGTTATGATGATTTTTGTGTAGCATTCGAGACATTTTACATCTATCTATCAACTAATCAAGGACTTGTTTTTCGTTCGATGGACTGACGGTCCAAGCATTAAATGCAGGGGTGTGTCTCAGGTGGTCTGTTAATATGTCGTCCGCCAAACGTGGTCTTTTACATATTTGGTCCTTTGACAGATTTGAAATTTTCGCAATGTAACGTTACAAATTAAATGTTGTGGAATGTTCTTCAATGTCGTGTTTTTGATTGATTGATTGATTGATTGATTGATTATGTTTTATTGATTGATTTCGCCATCAAAATTGCCATTTTAACAGTTGTCAGCTTTCCTACCTAAATTCCAACAGGATTTTCTATGAATATATGTGCATATGATAACGTTCAAAAGAGATAAAGAATGAAAAATAAGTTCTGTAGATTGCGAAGGAAGAACGATAAAGAAAAAAACATGGTTCAAGATAAGCAGAAAGAATGAATGAGTATAAGTGTATGCGTGTGTGTGTGTGTGTGTGCGTGCGTGAGTGCGCCTGTGCGTATGCGTGTGAGATAGATAAAGAGCCAGGAAAGGAAATGGAGTGCATGAGTGGAGGGAGGAGAGGGAGGGAGAGAAATTTGGATTGCTACGAATATCGCCCATGCTGACATTTCGAGCACAAAACACGACTACTCAGGTTTAGGGGTTCCGTTGGCAGCCTTGTCCTTTCCCCAGAGCTCAAGCGAATAGTTGTCAAAACCTGAAACGAAATAAAAATCAAAATTGAGGAAAGAACCAAACCGTGGTGGATAAACCAATGTTTATCGTGTATGATTCAATTTCTAGTATGGGCTAATTGTTGTTTTCTCAGTGGATTCGATATGTGGCCTTAAAATGTTATCGAATGACGGAATGCACAAAATTGACTATACTAGAGGCATTGAAATATATGCATTGTACATGACTAGTACCATGTTGACTTACTGAATGAACAGGCATTCTCTGATCAAGAGATACATTATGTACAGTGTAGTATTTACCAAGAGATTTTGTACATGGATATCTTACTCACCGACACGATCCTCAGCCTGCTCCTTGGCGTCACGACCACGTCTCTTCCTCACCAGCAAGACGGCAAATACCACCAGGAGGGCACCGGCTATCCCCGCAACTATCCCCACAGCGATGCCGACAGTGGGGACGGTGGAGGCTGTGGAACGGCACAGAGATATAACTGTTAATATTTATACTGTTTACTTCCTCACTTTAAACTAGTGCGCATGCATCTGCACTGTCAGAACTGTAT